ACATAATCCTAAATTGTTTTTCAGTAAGCATGCAATCAAGAAGAGTTGCTATCATACAAAATTATGATTGATAGATTGTTGATGATTCTATAGTAAAATTGATGTTTTGCTGTTTATCTCCATTTTAACAGAAATACCAAATGATTAACTGATCAAATATTGATTTTTTTTTTCTTTTCTTTTTTAAGGCTTTTTGATAATTCTCAAAAAACAAAAAAAGTCATGACAAACAATACATGAAACTGATAATCTTTTCCTCGATTTTAATAAGGGATGCAATAAACTTTCAAATTTCACCTCACCCTGCCCCTGCTGTGAACAACCATAGAAATCTCTATTCACTTTCCCAAAAACATTTCTTTTCGTATTTTTATTACAATAAATACTTCAAGTTTATATATATATATATATATATATATATATATATATATATATAATGTATGTATGTATATAATTTTAAAATTTATTTTGTTTGTGTGAATATAAAGAATTTGAGAAATCGACCTTGAAGCCATAAATTGCCTCTTTCTTGGAAGCGACACTAAAATTACTGTTTTTTATTTATTTCTTTTTAAACTTGATTCCTGTACACATTTTGGTTATAGCAGCAAAAGAAAGGAATGACCCACTTTGACTTGGAAGTGGAGTAGAAGTGTGTGTGTGTGTGTGTATATATATATATATATATACCTTTTTTTTTTTTTTTTTTTTTTAAATTACTACCACATTGGCTTGTAAGTCTAAAATAATAAACTTTCTGTCTACTGTTTACTTTTTTTTTCACTTCTTAGGTTTGGATTTATCATGCACAAAATCTTCTAAAGTGCTACTTTAAGACTTTTAAAAGAAACACAAGGACTTTTTTCATTTTTTTTTTTCTTCTTTTTCTCTTTATATTTTAAGATTTCTCTCTTTGGGGATTTCTGCATTCTACAAATGGTGTTGATTCCATCTTGAGAGATATATTAGTCAATTCTGTGTGAATTTTTATTTAGTGAACAAAAAATTCAGATTTTTTATGTAAATATACAATTGCATGTGTGTAAAGTTACATTAGCAGATTTTAATCTTTTTGAAACTATTCTATGTGTAAATATTTTTTTTTATTAACCTGACTTTCTTTTTTTTTCTTTTTTCTTTTTCTTTTTATTACTGGGACATGACTTTTCTGCAATCTCAAGAAATTTTATGTAGAAAAAAAAAACTTTTTGTTGACTGTAACCATTTTCTTAAAAATATTATTATTAAAAATATTCTAAAAATTATTTTTCATATCATTTAACCTCAAATGTACATATATATGGAAAATGTTAATATTTAATTAAAGTGCTTAGCATGACACTTAAATGTGTAATTCAACTTTTTATTTAGTTAAAAATGAGATATTTGCTCTTAGCCATATTTATTTACATAATAGTACACATGTGTTGTCCTGTGTGCGTATGTAATTAACTCTTATTTAAAAAAGGTGTCTTTACAAGTTTGTATATGATGTCACTGTATATATGTTAATTAGTTCATGTTGTGTTAATAAATATGGCTATCTGTGACGTATTCTGTTGTATGCGGCAGTCGTACGTTATAAATTTTCTGTGTGAAAAAACACTTCAGATTAAGTCCATAAAAATATTGTTTGTGATTTTATTATTGAGTGTTGCTTCAAGAACTGAACTTATTTTTGTTAGAATATTTTGTCTGATCCATTCTATGGCCTTCTTCAAGAGTAAACAATACAAAGAATTCACTTGTTTATTGGAAAACCTCATATTGTTCAACAAATTTGAAAAGGAATTATTTTCTTTTCTTTTGATATTTTTTTTTTTTTTTTTTTATCAGTTTTAACTGTTTTTCATACTTCATAAATAAATACTTTATAAATGTTTCCTACTTTATAAATATACTTTAGAAATAAATACTTTATAGCTTATAAATCATGTTTCATACTTTATAAATCTTTTATATTCTGGCTTTGCTTTGAGTGAGGATTCAGGAGAAAACCTTAGCTGTCAAGATGCAATTTAGTCTTGTGCTCTACCTGAAACTATCTCCTAAGGAAGCAATTTTGTTTTCATTTCTTTGTTATTTTTTATTTAAAAAAATAAAGAGGAAAACTGCAAAGGCCATTAGATTGTAAGTTTGTTAATCTTTTCTCTTGACTAATTGTTTCAAATAAAACAAGCCTAAGAAGAAAAAGAAAAAAATGATTTGAGTTTGAGAAGAATCATGATGCTTTACATTGGTGATTTATGTTGTTTTTCTATTTTTTTTTTTTTCTTCCTTTAGATTTGATAATCAGTGAAAAGTAATATTTATTGGCTTCAACTTGTCCTCACACCATGTGTATTT